TTTTGAAATTTAAATAAATTCTCCTGGATTTTGGTGATGGTTTGTTTGTTTGGTTGGTTGGTTGGTTTTTTTACACACCATAGCACTTTCCTTTTTTGCAGTTAGGACTGAGAGCTTGAAATCTGTGGGGAAAAGTGATTCTTATAACAATTAAAATGAGACAGTACCTAGGATTTCCTCTTTCTGAAAGACTCCTCTCTTGAGATCTCCAGCCTGACTTTGCATGTCTGGAGGATTTGAAGAAACGTCTAAACTGTTGGATTCCTTCTAGAAATCAATGTCTGAAGTATCAGAAGTTAGCCCATCACTTGCTTCAGTTTTAAGTTATTATTGTTAGAGGACTTCATTATAAAAAAAGACATTGAAGTTTGTCGTAGTCTGACTGAAGGGTATGTGGCTTGACCTGTGAGCTACCTTCTGCCCTTACAGAACTGAAGTTGCTAAGGCTTCTTGTGGCTTACTATTAAATTCATAGCACCCTTCCTCTCAGAGTCACAAGCTGTTGAAGGCAGAATACAATACGAAGTGAAGGCAGCAAAAAACCCCAATTGTTTAGTCACCTTTAAAATGAAAATTTAGCATCAGCACTGAGAAACAAGACAGGATGATAGAGGAGATAAAGCCACAATATCCAACAGAAACAGCAAGAGAGCTCATGATAATTTGGTTCATCTGAGTTTCAGTTCTTTCACTTGGGCTTTGAGGATTAGCACCTTTTTTCTTACCCCAGAAAAATCTGTCCTAAACCATCAAAAAAAAATAAAATCTGTATGCGATAATGAAACTCAGCAGCTGAAGAAAAGATCTGTAGATGTGCAGATTTATACTTCCTCACTCCTTTTCCTTCCAGCTCATGACAGAAAAGAGAACATACTTCCTGACAGCAGACTCTCCTAACATCCTGGAGGAATGGATTCATGTCCTACAGAGCATTCTGAAAGTGCAAGTGACCAGTCCGGTTGGTGTTCCGCATAGTGATGCTAAACCTACTGTGAAAGGTTGGCTCACCAAGGTAAAATACTGTTTCTTAGTTTTCAGTTTAGCTCAGTATTGACAATGTACCAGCTTCTTGGTTTGCACAGTAAATGTCAGCAAGAAATTAGTATTTCAATACTCCCTAGAAGAGCAGGTAAAGAAAAGTGGCAGTAATCTCTGTATTTCAGAGAGGAACATTTGTATAAATTATAAGGAATGGAACAAACAAGGCTACTGAGAGATACTGACTTTGTCAAATAGCAGGTAGTAACAAATATCTAGCTTATGTATAACTTTCTTCAACAGATTTCACAGCATGTCATCATAAAAAAAAAAAAAAAACAAAACAAAACACCACAAAAAGAAACCAAACCAAAAACCAGAAAATGCTGTTAAATGTCATATTTCATTGTTCTTAACTTGGTGATATAGGATAGTTTTGAAGAAATGGCTTGCATGGTTCTAGGTTAGCATTTATTTCCATCATAACAGGCTGCATGAGCATTAGTACAAAGTACAGTGGCTGAAAATCCTTATGCTTTATGCCTCTTCCATAGATGAGTGTTGCATAGCAAGTTACTATGATTTTTTTTAAATATAATTCTGGTCAGTGTCTAAAGATGGCCAAAGACAACCTGCATCTGAGGCTTGTTTGTCTGCAATAGGAAACAGCTCCCTAGACTGCATGTTGACTGGTCCTTTCCTGATGAAATTAAATTATTTTATTTTATAATCTTAAAAAGGTTATTCTCTAATATCATATTTCAGGATACAGAAATAATGTGTTGTTACGAATGAGTAAAATACTTCACAAAAATTGTAGACCTTTTCTATTAGCACAGATGTCCCACCTCCTTAGACGGGCTGTAGTTAACTGCTTTTTGGAAGTGGTCCCCTTTGTGTTTTGAGAAGAGCTCAAATTGGCATAGAGCAAATACTGTATGCAAGGTTTTAAGGGAGAGTTGAATCAAAAGTTGAAATCCTAGAAAACCATTCCAGCAACAGTGCTGATGTTAAAAACGTGTATTTCTTTTGTCCCCCTTACAGGTCAAGCATGGTCACTCTAAGCTGGTCTGGTGTGCACTGATTGGAAAAACTTTCTACTACTATCGAAATCATGAAGATAAGGTAATTCTTTTTCTCCTTTTGTTCCTGAACCCTCCTTTCCCATTTCTCATTTTACTGTTTCTGTGTCTTATGCTTCAAGCTTTTCCTTGGTTGTACTTCTCCCCTTCTAACACCATCTGCTTCACAAAGAGAATCAGTATTTTCTCTGATTTTTTAATTTTTTTTTTTTTGTTAAGCTAAAATGACAAAAGACTTAAAAGGTGAGTGACTCTTCTTTCTCAGATCATGGTATATCTTGTTTCTTGCTATCTCCATTTGGTCTTCTGAAGCCTTTAGAGCAGACTTTTATACAGCTGATGATATATTCTGCATGAAAATAAGTAGCAACAACAATATGGGAAGAGGGAGGTCAATCAGTCAGTGTAATGTGCTTCCATTTCTGGAAGCTTGGCCCAATGGTCCATTTTTCTTGGTGATGTCAAAACCTAGGTTTTGGAATATCAAGGAATACTGTGGCTCATGCTTGGGATTGACCTCCAGAGGTAGCACAGCAGATATCTCTGTTTGTCTACCCATTTATGTGATTTTAAAAGTATGTATTTTCCAGTAGCAAGCAGAAAGTCTGACCAGGATTGGAAAACAGTGGCTCAAGATACTGAGCAACTGACCATCAGAAAACACATCCTGCCTTGCAGAACCAATGATGTAAACACAACTGACAAGTGTAATGGGAAGAAAACCCCATGGGAAAGAAAGAAAACCCGTATGGGAAAGACCATCTTTTTATTTGCATATTCTCATTCTGACCTGTAGATGCTCTCACAAGAAGAACAATAAACATAGTAACGCAGTTTGTAAGTACTTCAGTTGATGGAAGAGAAGAGATTCTATAGAAATGCAAGATTATATAATTACATTATTTAAACACTGAGTTGTAGTTTATTCCTTACAGTTTACAGAACCGCTAACGTTTTAACCTGGGTTTTCTTTCCCAATGTTCCCTGTCCATAGTAGGAGATTAGCTATGCTCATTTAACTTGCTTCTCCTCCTCATAGTGTCCCCTAGGGCATCTGCCTATGCGTGAGTCCAAAGTGGAAGAAGTAGACCGTTCCTGTGACTCTGATGAAGATTATGAAGCAACTGGTGGAGGACTTCTGTCATCCCACTGTACATTGGTGATTCACCCACAGGACCAGAGTCCCACATACTTACTCATTCGCACTAAACAGGAGAAGGTATAAAAGGCAGTCTCTCTGGAGAGCAAGAGTCTTTTTGGTATTAGCAAACAAAAGGGGCATATGGACTGACCCTGTTTGTAGAAAATAAGGTCTGAATTGACCCATACGGTTCTCATCCTTATGCCTAGAATACGTGGCTGTACCATCTGACCGTAGCAGCTGGTAGCAGTAATGCCACAGTGGGCACATCGTATGAACAACTCATTGGGAAACTATTGGATGCAGAGGGAGACCCTAGTAAGTAGAAACCACAAACTCTTTCCTATGTAGTAGAGCATTTACTACTAAAGCATAAGGAAGAGTAATTTCAGTTCCCAGTTTTAATCCAGCCAAAGGTGAGGGAAGGGGATTTTCAGTAGAACAGTATATGATATAGTGTCCTTCACCCCGAGTTCCACAGTAACGTCTCCAGAGAGGATACAGGTATTGTAGTGAAACTAGGCAAGTCTGTCACATCCTTTATCAAAGCATCTGAGATGTCTGGAACATGAATTCAGATTATAATAAAGAACTGGAGTTTTAATTTTCCCTGTTATTGTTGGTCCTGATTTTCCTTTCCTGGGAATCTTGACCATACAAATGCATGCTCTCTCCTCTAAATATACTCATACACACTTGCCTTCACATCTGTTCCTCTGTCTGGACATATAAACCCTCATACATACATCCATGCTCATCTGTTCTTTCTCATTTTTGATACTTGCTCATTCATGTATGTTTATGCACCATGTTCTCAGATATTAACACATGCATTCATGCTTAATACTCTTCTTCTGCACACTCACGTCTTCCTAGACCTATATGTGAACCTTGCTTACTATTGTATAGTGACTTGCACTAACAAAGACGCCCATTGCAGGCAGCTGCCCTGGTAGAGTTTGTGTCTCCTGTTTGAACATACAGCTGAGCAGATTCTCACCAGAATCCAGTTGATGAGAAGCTCTGACATAGCAGGATTGAGGATAGCAATACTTCTTTCTGCTGATGGCTAATGCTGCTGGTGACTCCTTGCTCATGGCAGGCTTTGAAATCACTGAAATGGCAGCAAAGATAAACATGGCCTAAAGCAATGCTGCTTCCTTGAGCGCTTTGCCATTTCAGTAAGGTGCCTTTTTAATGTGGACTCAGTTATCTTTCTTCTGTTTCTGACACTGTGTGTTTTTGTCCATCCGCTGCCTCAGATTCTCCTCTGTGGAAACATCCTATGTTGTGCTACAGTAAAGATGGGTTGCACACATCCCTCACCACTCTGCCATCTGAAGCTCTACAGACTGAAGCTCTGAAACTTTTTAAGGTATTTAAAGGGACATTGCATGGTTTTCAGTTATTTTGCTCTGTTGTTGGGGCAACGATGTTGTTTAGTCATGTTGTTTGTTACAACAGTTACTGTCACTGACAGGCCTGCTGGGTCATTTAATTAAACTAGGACAGTGGGATATTAGGTGTCATTCATTCTCTGGGAGTTTTAACTTTTCCTTGTAGGGAATCTGGGTTTAGGAGCAATGTCCTCCCACAGGCTTTACACTTCAAAGTTAGCCTTCCTGTTTCCTCTCCAGTAGTTGAATTGAAAGAAACAGAAACAATTTACTGGCAAACTCAGTTGGGTCCGTAAGACCAATGGTGAAGACATTGGAGATTTGATTCTTGCACTCTACAAGTGTAAGATCAGCAGTAAGACTGGACAGTCTTAGCCAGGTAAAGCGCAGGCATGGAAGGCAGGAAGCGCATTTTCCCCTAAATTCTCTTGCTGACTTGTGAGCTGCTTAGGCTGGGGGAGGTTGAGTGAGTTTTCTAGTTGCCACAACTGAAGATGGAGGAATAGGAATTAAGTGTTTATTCTCTCCTCTCCTTTCAAGTTTATTTAGAAGAATTCATTAATTGTCTGTAACACATCTGGGGAACCTGGAAAGTACCAAAGAAGAGTTGCTGTATTCATGGCATTGACTGACTTCCACCCTTTTACAGTCCTGTCAGCTGTTCATTAATGTCCCTGTGGAGGCACCCTCTATTGATTACCATGTGTCGCTTGCCCAGACAGCACTGCAGGTCTGCTTGACACATACTGAGCTGCAGAATGAAATTTACTGTCAGCTTGTTAAACAGACCAGCTGCCGACAAACCCAGAACCACTCAGTCATTCAGGTCAGTTCTTCTTTTGTCACTTCCACTCTGCAAATACTTTCTATTTAATTCCATGTTTCTAATAATTAGCAATGGGACTGGTTCTCAAAATTGTGCAATGCTAAAGGTGTGCTGGAGGAAAGATAATCTTGGCACTGATGTGCGAAGAAAAGCATTGAGAATGTAACTACTTGCAAAATAAAGTTCAGTTTGAATTTAACCATTTACCAGTTGCAAATGGTCTATTTGGTCCATATGTGGAATCAAAATTCATAGCTTGTGTTCCTAGCTATAGTTGTCACATGGTATTATTGTTTTCTGTTTTAGTTAATCAACAGCATGTGAATCATGAATATTAAGCATGAAATCTGATTTTTGCACTATAATTACTGAGTAAATCAAATGAATAAGTTACAGCATGAATGTACGTATTTGATTACAATATTCCCGGCTCAAAGGGGACAATAAAATCTGGTTGAAGAATAATGGGTCTAATTTGAAACAAAATTCCTCAGTGTATTCTTTGTAATGATTTGCAGTTACAAATAGGAAAAAAGTATTAATTTAAGTCTTAATAGTTCGCTCAGCTCTGGTTACACTAGTCAAAATTTTCAAAAGTGGCCAGTCATTCAGAACACCTCTTCGTAGAGTCCAGGTTGAGATACTGAAGAGCAGTCTGTCTTCTGACTGTCACTTCCCCTTGAAGCATCTTGAACTACATGCCTAAAACTGGCGACTGCCAGAAGCACCAGTCACCATCCAACGTTTTGGTTGCAGTATTCTATGAAAGACTAAGTCAGAAGGTACAGAACAAGAATGATGTCCAGTTTTATGTTCACAGTGCTGGCAGCTCCTGGCTTTGTGTGCTCCTCTGTTCCTGCCTCAACATCACTTCCTCTGGTATATCAAACAGCACTTGCAGCGACATGCAGACCCCAGGTAAAGACTGCAACAGCACAAGCTAAGGTTGCTTTTTGCATCAACTATGGATAAAGATGGAAGCAATTTTGTAACTCGCCTGCAAAAATAAGTTGTGAGGGGACAGAAGGTTCCAAATGGTATCAAGCTGTCTCCCTTCAGTCACTCACATTAATTTGTCACTTATATTAAGCTAGTTCACAAAACTGAGTGACCTATACTAGTAAAAGAACTTTTTGCAGATACAACTGGAGCTGCATAGAGAGCTTTTTTCTGATGCAGCTGCTTTCTTTTATTGATAGAAGGACAGATCAAAGTAAATATTTAGAATGAATTATTAGAGTTCTATGTGACTATATTCTGCTGTCAGGTTAGTAGGCATACTAACAGGATGAAAGTGAGGCAGAGAACTTCTCAGGGAACCACAGAGTTAAGAAAAACTAACAAACCTGAAATATATGCTAGTACTGTTTTCTGTTACCTCTTTGGTAACACTTTCCTCTATAAGAAAACAGCACAAGAACTACTCTAACAGCAGTAAGTTGTTCTTCAGTGTTCATGCTGTGCTCTTTGTTTCCATGGTAATCTGGTCTTCAGCATATCTTGCTGTGTCCTTGTCGGGGAGGTCACAGCCAGAGATGTCTAGTTGTCTGTTGCACAATATACTGTTGCTAAGATATAGGTAAAAGAGTGGTTTCATTTCAAACAAATATTTATATTCAAATACTCAGCCTAAGTCTGCCTTGGAACTCAAGCTAAAAGTCTGCTGGTATTGCGAAGGAAATCTGTGTACTCCTATCAAATCAGGGGGGTTGTTTTATTTTATTATATGCTGCCTCACATTTGCTATTTCTTCTCAAAAGCAAAAATACAGTTATCAGGCACTCCTCTATGTTCAGGCTCTCTCTCCATTGGCTAAGGCAACACATTAGGGATCTTCTGGCTATAATAGAAACCATCTTCAAATTTGCGCATTACCAGCTCCCAAACTGGCCCATTCAGCTTAGTAGTGGAGCTGCTCTGTTAGAATCACAGAATAGTTTGGGTTGGAAGGGATCTCTGAAGGTCAGCTAGTCCAACCCCACTGCAGTGAGCAGGGACAGCTTCAGCCAGATCATGTTGCTCAGAGCCCCATCCAACCTGACCTTGAATGTTTCCAGGGATGGGGCATCTACCACCTCTCTGGGCAGCCTGTGCCTGTGTTTCACCACTCTCATTGTAAAAAATTTCTTCCTTAGATATAGTCTAGATCTGCGCTCTTTCAGTTTGAAACTGTTACCCCTCATCTATCACCACCCTCCCTGATCAAGAGTCCCTCCCCACCTTTCCTGTAGGGCCCCTTTAAGTACTGGAAGGCCGCTAGAAGGTCTCCCCGGAGCCTTCTCTTCTCCAGGCTGAACAACCCCAACTCTCTCAGCCTGTCCTCACAGGGGAGGTGCACCAGCCCCCTGATCATCTTCATGGCCCTGGTTGTTAGGGACTATTGAGTTCCCTAAGTATGTGCTGGGCTCTGTGAAACTGATTCAATGCATCAGTTTCAAGCATTACTATGCTGATAGTCTGCCAGGTTCTTAGCCAAAAGTACCTTTATCAACAAATAAACTTTAAGCACAAGCAAAGAGGAAATATATTTATATGATCCAGCTATGAAACAATTAGTAGTGCTAGAAAAAAAACAGAAATTACAGCAAACTGTGCTTATATTAATCTTTAAATTTAGAGCAGTTGCTAAATGGGACTTAGCTTAGCTCCTTCTGCCTAGCTCTAGGAATACTTATGTCTCTTCAGGTGGAGCAGGTGCAGCTGTTTCTTGACCAGTTATAGACATGTTTTCCCTGTTTCATACAGTAAACAAGACACCAGAATGTTTACACTGCATAATGCCTATGGTCTAGATTTACACTAGATCTTCATTCTAGGTATTGTTTTCATGAAAGGTGACCTTGAGAGTATATATCAAATCTCTGAGAGGAAGAAAAGTGGGGTGTAGTTCTAGGTTAGAAGACACAGGGCTCAGGAGCATTTGGAAGGCAGATACAACAGCTTCGTGTTGAAGCAAGATTCTCTATTTGAAAATTTTACAAATGCATTACTGAGGAGGTAAGCAACATATTGTTACAGTGAAAAGGCAGAGCTCTGGACTTTCATGTTGCTTACAGGGGTTTAACTGGAGATTTAATCACGTACATAGCCCCTGAAGGCCTCTTGAATTAAATTAGTTTCCCCTGCAGAAGTGATAGCATGGTTATAAATCCATATAAATTCTTCAATTTCAGTATTTATTCAGTATACACATTCTTAACATTTTTGAAAGGTGTAATTGACTGTTCCTGCCTGGCTTTAGAGACACTTAGATCTTTCAGTGCTGTTCAGTGGAACACTATTTCAGTAGACAGTAAACTGATCATGTTAGTAACTATCCCTATACTGTACTGAACTATTAAGAAATCTGAGCCTACTTTGAATCTCTGTCAAGCCTCTTGATTGGTAGATAGGTTTAATACATGGAAACTTACAACAATTTGTATAACCATGTAAATTGGTAATCATAGTTTATATAATCCTGTAAGTGAGACTAATGGATTACAAGTTATTATTAATACTTACCAGGACTTGACACGATAGTAACTAAATTCTGCTGGCATGACAGCAAGTTCGAGGGTAAATTTGTCTGAGTTTAATGGATACTGTAATGGCAATGGGGTACAGAAGAGGATATTCCTATACTATGTCAAGTCCATCTAGGAGCAGGGAATGCTCTTGTGCTTCCCAGAGTCCATTGTCTACCTTACTTTTACAGATCCTTCAAGCTCAGGTTTGTGTAGTAGCTTTTCACTTGAAGTGTTAGTCTGTTGAGATGGACTAGGATATCTGCACAGAGATGTATCTGAGAGAGGAATACTTTGTCATGGCATGGGAAATGAAAGAGGATGTTGTATTTGAAGCATGTTTGTGACTTATCTCCACCTCTCCACCTAGGAATGAAATAGGCAAGTATGCCATCTACTGCCAGAGATCCGTAGACCGCACTGTGCAGACTGGCGAGCGGGAAGCCAAGCCCTCCCGGATGGAGATTGTGTCCATCCTGCTGAGAAATCCCTACCACCACTCACTCCCCTTCAGCATCCCAGTGCACTTCATGAATGGAACCTACCAGGTGAGCCACCACAGCTGTCTTCCTTCTGGGCACTAGAGGACTGCACTATAACCTGCCTCCTTCATGTGGGTGGGTGGCACCATGGTTTTGGACATGTCGGATATGGGGAGACAGACTGTATTTCTCTTCCTTGCCATTTTAGCGGTTTCTCCTGAGATAATTAAAGAAATCCAGCCCCAGCTCTACAGGCCTTAGAAAGAAAAGGTAGATGGGAAAAAGGGAGAGATGTCGTACATGTCTCACTATGAGAAAGAGTGCGATGTGGAGGGAGACAATATGCAAGTGCTGTCACTAGAGCTGGCAGTCAATCCTGATACACCAATCTGTAGGAAACCAAGCTTCATTAGTTGTGATGCCCATCAATGTCATGTTTCTTGAAAGTTATCCTAATTAACTCTTTTGTTGCAGGTTGTAGGTTTTGATGGTTCTTCAACAGTTGATGAATTCATCCAGCGACTGAACCAAGAGACAGGAATGAGAAAGCCATCCCACATGGGATTTTCTCTGTTCACAGATGATCCTTCTGGCAGGAATTTGGAACACTGTCTGCAGGGCAACATGAAGGTGTGGTGTCTTTTTTTTTTTTTTTTTTCCACTCCGCTACATTCAGCATACATCTTTGAAGAGCTGCTAAATGGCTAATAATTTTTTCTTAATGCAGCAATATCAAATACACTTGGGTATTGTCTATCTAGATTAGTATTCAGAGATGAGGTATTAATTCCTGCACTTGGGTCACAACAACCCCATGC